TCGTGGACTACAAAACTCTGCAACAAGAAAGTCAAACATGAAAACTTCGCTGCAAAATATGTAGTCGTTACCAATAGCTGACGGTAATTATGGAATTGAAGAGTTCGAAATAGTGGGTAGGTTTCAAACTGAGGAAATTTCTCTGAAGAAAACTATACGGAAATGAACAGTATCATTCACTGAGTGGACGTGAAGCCGTTTGCTTATAACATGCAATCTATGCAGTTTGCCTTCAAAATGATATATTCAATCAATGGTCTGAGCAGTCTGCTCTCCACTTCGCATAGTACTGTTTTGTCGCGATATCAACGTAGACAAATACAACAAAAAGTTCCAAGAACTTGAAGTATCGCACTGGTACATGTTTTATTACTGTTCCGCTCAATATTTCGTTATTTATTTCATTTACATAATATATTTACAGTTATAAGGTGTAAGGGCGAGGAATGTTTCGCATGATTTGTGAGATGGTGTAAAAATGTGGATTCTTATAAAAAACACTGTTTTGAAAATCTTACGTGGCACAGCGGCCAACCAGGAGAACAAATTCGAAACGAATCACGCTAAGGTTTTCTGACCAACTCGGTGGTGATGAGGTTGTGCAAGGATAGGTTGCACCGGAGATTGTTTCCTGGTAAGGGAAGATTGAGTTAGTTACCGTCACAGTTGGCTAGTTTTTGTACACTAAACCCCATTTTCGCAAGCCTCAAACTCGTCATGTTAGTAATCAAGGTGTAACAAAAAAAGAAGGCAAATCGGCTGCTTACTGGGGCAGATACTTCCCCTCCTACCGATGTATAACACTTTGTGAAAAAACTTTTAAGGAGAAGTCGAAATAAAAACAGACATCAAAACCTTCACAGAAACCTACACGATTGCGAAAATTGTATGACAGTATGTCCTTGATCGTGGGAATTCGCAGCATATACCGACTTGAATGGAACACAAACATATTTCACAGACGTGAAAATGGTCTGACAAGCGCGATGGTGACCTGCAAAGACAGCTTCAATAGCTTCAGTTTTCCCGTTCGCCAAAGACTGTTGTCTGACGCCCTCTCATCTATTGCGCTCTCTCGCCTCATACTCTCTCTCCGCGGTCAGTCTCTCATTGCCTTAGCCCAGCCGCCTTATGGAGGTGATCGAGCTCTTAACACACAATTCTTCGTGGACTACAAAACTCTGCAACAAGAAAGTCAAACATGAAAACTTCGCTGCAAAATATGTAGTCGTTACCAATAGCTGACGGTAATTATGGAATTGAAGAGTTCGAAATAGTGGGTAGGTTTCAAACTGAGGAAATTTCTCTGAAGAAAACTATACGGAAATGAACAGTATCATTCACTGAGTGGACGTGAAGCCGTTTGCTTATAACATGCAATCTATGCAGTTTGCCTTCAAAATGATATATTCAATCAATGGTCTGAGCAGTCTGCTCTCCACTTCGCATAGTACTGTTTTGTCGCGATATCAACGTAGACAAATACAACAAAAAGTTCCAAGAACTTGAAGTATCGCACTGGTACATGTTTTATTACTGTTCCGCTCAATATTTCGTTATTTATTTTATTTACATTTACTAAGTAATTTATTTATTTACATTTGCTAAGTAATTCTATGTTCAGGTTCTTCGACCGTTTTTCCAGTGGCTTTCGTTGCTAAGCAGCTCATTGAATCCGTTGATATATATCGCCTACAGCCAGAAATATCGCCGAGCATTTCACAAGATTCTGCTACTTCCTTGTCGATCAAAGTACGCACTTCTAAATTCATCCTTGGCTAATAATCACTGCCATGTTAAGGTACGAGAGAGTACGAGGGACCCTTCTACGCAGCCACGACACGCAGATTTCCGAAGGAAGTCAGATTAAAAAGGTTTGTGAGACATTCGCTCAAGAGTTGTTCAAGATTCCGACAGCATTCGGTGGTGATGAGTTGGATGAACCGTTCCCAAGGTAAGGATAAAGGATAAAGCATTTGCCGTTGATCAATCCCTTTTTGGGATGCGGCACGCATTCTACTTCCATTTGTACATTCGCAGTGGCGTTTGAATGCGATGTGGCCTATACAATGACTTGCGGGGGCCAGCCGATGTACAAGTCAGTGTTTTTATCCTCCCAGACAAGTCTGGTACCAATTAACCGACCCCGGAGGGATGGAAGGCTTGGTTGGCCCGGGCGACTCACGACCCAGGATTTGATCCCCGGACCGCTCGCGTGGTAAGCGTGCCACTTGCCACTACACCACTTCCGCCCCGTTCCTAAGTGTAGCGAAATGAGAAAATACACTATGTCGGTCGCTTTTTGGGACAGTGTGAGGATACACTAATCTGAACCACTAGGACATTCTGAATGCATGTTATCCTGCACGTGTAGGTTGGCTAATGTCTGGATAGGCTTTTCCATAGGTACACGTCGATTGGGTGACCCGTTCAATTTGAACACAATGTCGAGAACGAGACATCACACACACACAGAGCAGATTACACAGAGACCGTCACACGAGCCACGGTATTACATGTTTCCCTACTTTATAAATTGGCTCATTCTTTTTCTTTCCTTTTTTTCTTGTCTTTACAATTATTTATTTATTTGATGATGTCTCCATAATGTCCCTTGCTAAAACATCACCATCATGTCTCTAATTGTAGTGCTCTTTCTTTGTCAAACGAAGTATGGATGGGATATTTTTTGTTTGCTCAACTCAGACGACTGCTGCGATCTTCTCTGCTTCCACAGAAAAAGGAGGAGATTCGGTCGGAATCTTACCAAAGTTTCAAAACTATTGAAGCCGATCTGTGCAGCTGTTGAAAAGTTGTAAAAGATCGAACGTTGGTGATCACTGATGGTCTTTATCTACTATCCTAGTGTATTCAAGGAAATCACAATCCCTAACTGGATGCTCCCACAAGGAAATTTAACGGCACTGTTCAAGCAATTTCGATGCGCGTAAGAGTCTTCCATACGAAGATATTGGAAGATTCTGTCGGCCTTCTTACGAAATTGTTTTGGTCTCTGCTTTTGCTTGGTAATGGAAGTGCTGCTTATATATATAGGTAATATTGGGAAGTATTTTGATGATTAAAACAAAATTTTACTGTTACTTTATTATGTGGGGTCGAACAAAGAGTAGCCTAGTTTCCGTTTCGCACGTGCCCTTAGACGGAAACTAGACGAACGTTGTGTCCTCCCTTAGTGCTCATCAGTAAGGGGAAGGAGGAGTGGTGGTTTGGAGTGTGTATATTAAGCTACATTTATTTATAGTATATAAAGGTTTTTATATAAATGACTTACATTTGTGTTTGCTTTATCCTGTGCAACTTTGTGATTTTCTTCATAGTTTCTTATCTTTGAGCTTATCATATAGATTTTTGTCTGCGGAAGTCAAAAGGCAAGTGGGGTCCCATTTCCCGGGTTCTGTGCCGTTTTTCATGGTTTTTTCTTCATTCCGGCATGTCCACCTCTACTTACATTAGTTCTAATGAACTGCCTTCTACTATTCGTGAAATCCCCTTTGAGCTCGTCGGTGAACACAGACAATCCTACATTTCGATGACGTAGATCGATGGGCAAACACCTGTTCCTGCTCAGCGAGCAATATTTCAGGAATATCCTTCAGTGTGACTGCGATTGATGCACCTGTCCAAAGTAATCTTTGCTGTTGAGTGCAATGACTTTTTGCACCTCTGCACGATTCCCAGTTCCATGCTGCATGCATTCGTTTACGTTTGCAAGACAGCAGCAAAAGGGGGCGTCTATTTTTAGGATAGGAAATGCTATTTAACTGCCACATTTCTGTTTTATCGCGTGAAACTGCCGATTTCAGAATTCGACTTTGAACCGTAGCAGTCGATATTTGCATTCGACAACGATGGCGCCTTCTGCGAAAGACGGAGCAGTTTCACCGATGATAACGATGATGGATAGCCCTCGATCTGAAAGACGTAGCAACAGTACCTCATGCTGATGTCAAGGGTCATCTGTCCTACCTAACGGCTCGGGATGTTCTTAAATTACGCAACGAATCACGCTGCTTGGCCCTGACAGGGACCGGACGCCTGAAGGAACAACGCCAAATGTTTGAAGGAAAACGGCTAAAAGGTTGCGAAATTCATTCCCTAACTGTTCCCAACCCTAGAAAGATATCTGCGATCGCTATCGGCTCACAATTAAAGTTGTGACAACGCTCTACTTCTTCACGCTCTCCTCTCAAGGATTTCTTTTGCTAATTCACTTCTTCGCTTCCCCTCTCCGTCCATCCACCTGTAAAGCATACAAAGTCTCATTGCGTTTCTGATAAAATGGCTCAATTCTTGTTTTAAATCCTTGTTTGCCTCGTACTGTACACTGATTGTATTTCATTCAAATGCGTTCGTGCTTCTTGGGTTTCTTATACGCGGTAATAATAAACATTCCTTCTATGAAAGCAGTCTTATCTTCTCAAAAACGCTGATTCGCGTTATCTCTGCGGATCCACAATCAGTTGCCGAGTTGTCGGCAAAAATGCCGCCTCAAGCAGGAGCTGAACTCGCCTTACGGGCAGTCCTGCTCGGATTACATGGCCAGATCATCGCTTCATCTTGTAAGGAGGAAAGAATCTTAACCGTAAGTCGGCCTTCCAAATGAGATGTATACACTCAGATGTGCCTTTAAACGCTCATCTCCAATCTACCTTCCAAATTTACTAAGCGATTTTCTAAACAGAATCACAAAGCAAAAGATCGCAACGTAGTGGTCGGGACTCAGAGTCAAGAGGCCGTAGGATCGAATCGTTGTCATTTTAACTAACAAGGTTTTTCCAGCTAATACGGCTAAGGGGCACATCATAGCGTGATTTATCACTTCTTGAATGATCCTGGCGATCTAACCATAAAATCCTATCCTTAGTTCGACTTCTGGTAGCATTATACAGGGGGGAGGGGCAATAAAAAAAGACATTCTGTCTCCCATTCAAAACCGGTTTAATCACACTCTGCTAAATTCGAACCGAATGGTCTCAAGTTAAAATGAAAGAGCACA